GAGGAATAAGTCCATGGAGAATGGAGAAGAACTCTTGTCATTCTAACTCTTTAGAAAATCCCCTCTGTCCAGTATCTTTCATTACTTACTCTTTCTTCAATATCAGTGTGTAAATACAAAAGGTCCCTAGGTGGCACAAGCAGTGGGTAGAAAGTTGTGTGGCTAACCCTAGGGCCTTATCTCTCTGGCAGTTCAAATCTACCAACAGCTCCGTAGGAGGAATGTGGGCAATCACCTCCTTCTAGTTATGGACTCAGAAACCCAGTGGGGGGTCATCTCTAAGTCACTTTTGACTTAACAGTAGTAAGTGTATGATTAATCAAACAGTTGGTGGTTCAAAGGCAGCCCTGTAGCAGCACAGAAGAAAGACCTGGCCATCTGTTAAGAGGACAGTCAAGAAAAACCTATGCAACAGTTGTCATTGTTGTGTACCCTGGAGTCAGGATCAACCCTCAAGTGAGTTTTCAGAGGTAGTAAGTCACAAGGGAACAAGGAGAAATGTGGCAACAGGACTGAAGGAAGATTCATCAACAACCTACAGTATGCAGATGACACAACCTTGCTTACTGAAACTAAGAAGGACCTGAAGTGCTTGCTGCAGGTCAAGTACCATAGTCTTCAATATGGATTGAACCTCAATGTCAATAAGACAAAGAACCTCACCATTCTCACCACTGGCAGCACCATGATAGATGGAGAAGAGATTAACAATTTCAGTTTGCACAGTAACTCACCACTAAGCCACTAGGACTCCTTATGGAGCAGTACTGCTCTGCAACGTAGGCGCTCACCATGATGTTTTGGTTTATGTCCATAAGAGGCGGCTGAAGGACTTCAATCACATCATTTTTGCAAATCTAGCACACATGATCTGAAATCTCTCCTTAAAATGCATTTCCCCCCCAAGATTCAAGGCCACACCAACACTGAGACACAATCCTGTTCTCATATCAGATCACATATAAAAATCTTTGTATCTCCAGCAAAGCAAGTGCACAAGTAATTTTTCTAAGAGGTTATTTTCTAAAGTCATTACTGATCCGTAGAAAGGGAATGTATACATATTAAAGGTATTTCTTTTTTAATGAATTATGAATACTCTTCCAGCTAAACGAGCTATGACGTACTGAACAGGACTGAAAAGAGTTAAAGATGTTTTCTTTGTTACGATCAAAAATTGGCTATCACACATTCAGGAAGTAATGAAATAGAGACCAACCAGTGTACTTTTAAATCAATCTTAGTTTCTTTTCAAAATGGCATTAAATAGACTTTATGTAGATAGATATAGAAAAATAATATCTGTGTAAAAACAAAACAGAGCAAAAATCTGTCTAACTCATTGCCATCGAGTCAGACCTTCCCTTAGGTTCAGACCATAGCTGGCCCTCCATTGGGTTTCTGAGGCTGTAAATCACTAGTGAGGAAGGAGACTGCTGATTTCTTTCCCAAGAGTGTCCACAGATCTAAATCACCAGAGATGCCTGACCTTTGAGTCAGTAGTGCAATTCCCTACGGAGTGTGTGTGTATACTTAACAATTATGTTGAAATAAGGGACGTGTCGTTTTCACAATTGGTTCAGGACCACTAGTTGATTTTCATAAATAAATTGCCAGGACTTTCTTCCTTGTCTTAGTGTGGAAGCCCTTCCTTCCACATCTTACCAACACAAATCTACCACTGGCAGTTAGGTGACAGCTGCACTTCGGGTGTACAGGCCAGAATATCACCCAGGTCTCTCTCACAGAAGAATTCTACCACTAAGCCCCCAGTGTCCCTGTCTCTCTCCTTAGGATGACTAAAAGGAAGTCTGCTCAGAACATTCTCCTCTAGAAACCACACTATTTATGCATCCCTAAAAACCCAAGCCATTGTATCTTCAATTGTTTCCCTGTGAAACCTAGACAATGAATAAAGAAGACAAAAGAAGTGTTGACTGTGGTGGACTGCAGCGTCAATAGAGAATATTATATATACCACGGGCTGCTGAAAGAACAAATTAATCTGTCATGGAATAAATAAAGCCAGGGTGCTCCTTAGGAGCAAAGGTGGCGAGACTTCATCCCGTAGACTTTGGGCATGTTGTCGGGAAGTGTTAGTCCCTGGAGGAGAGCATCATGCTTGGAAAAGCAGAGGGTCGGCAAAGGACAGGCAGATCCTCAATGGGATGTATAGGTAGAGAGGCTTCAGCACAGCAAAGTTTGTGAGGTTGTGCAGGGTCAGCCAGGAAGGATTTTTTTTTCTATTCCGTCACACATTGGATCACAGAGTGAAGTCCCTCAACACCAGCTAACAACAATAACAAGCTTAGAGCTAGTTTTCACACCTAAAGATGACTAAGGAAAAGAACCATGTTCCACTTTCCATACACAAGGCAGGAGTGGTATCTCTCCTACACAGAAATCAATTACTTATACAGAAGCCATGGGCAGACAGAACTGAAAACCAACCCAGGAGAAAGTGTGTTTGAACCAAATCCTCTCCAAATGCCCTGGGAAGACTTGCTTTGCTTGGGTTGTCTCCGAAGAGAAGAGTGACTTTTCACAAAGGGGCTGTTTTGGAAAGAACAACAAACTTGGCTATTTTAAACTCGGGTGGGAGACTGGATCTGGAACGTTTACACAGGCGAGTGCAGGCTGACTGACATCTAACCCCTGCTTTTGCTGGCTCCAGCTTCCAAGTAAAGCAAAGGGAGAAAGTGCTCCTGTGAGCTCTGGAAGGCATGGCAAATGAGCTCTCCAGCAGCACTGCAACTTCGCAAGGTGGACAGAAAAATCTGCCTAGAAATTCTAAAAGGTCTGTCATCTGAGTGATCTTGGGACCCACAGGGACATTTGCAAAGCTGTGGAGGACAGACACTTCCCAAGGCTTGAGTCCAGTCAGCAAACACAAGACTTTGTGGACGTTAGCCCCATTAGTGTGTGTGTGTGTGTGTGTGTGTGTGTGTGTGCGCGCGCGCGCGCATACATGCACGCACGCATTTGTGTTAACCAGTTGGGAGAAGTGCCTAGGTGGTGCAAAGATTTTTTTTTTTTTATTTCATTCTTTTTCCTGTTGAGATGTTGGAGTTTTATACAAATTTTAGAGATGACTTTTTTGTCAGATGCGTCACTGCCAATTGTTTCTTCCCAATCAATCTACAGGTTATCTTTAAAATTTTCTTTTTAAGTTTCTTTATCCACAACTAAACTCAAGTCATTGCCTTCGAGATGAAACTGACTCATAGCTGACCCTCCAGCAGGTTTTCAGAGCCTGGGATTGCATGAGAGGACACTGCCCATCTTTCTCTCACACAGCAGCTGGATGATTTGAACCACCAGTTTTGGGTTGACAAAGCAATTCCTTACCCATGAGGCTATCAGAGCTCCCTGCAAAAACATCCTACAGTTTCAGATTTTTAACTTCATTTTTATGGCCTTTCCCTTCACCTAGCTTATCTGCTTATTAAAGCATTTCCCAGTTAACCAAAAAGGTCAAGGGTTTAGGTCTACCCAGAAGCAACTCGGAAGAAAGAGTTGGTAATCAACTTTTAATACCTCAGCCCCTAGAAGCCCTCCTGAACACACCTCCTCTGTGGCACACATGGGTCATCATTTATGAGAACTGTCTCAGCAGCAACTGGCACTGGAGTGATGCTGAGCAGGCTTCAGAGGAGTTCCAGCCTAAGACAGACTAGAAAGGAAGACCTGGTGATCAACTTTCGAAAAAACTGACATTGATAACCTTACTGAGCTCAGCTGTCACACCTGAGGTTGCTGTGACGAAAGCAGATTCCATGGCAACAAGCTGTCACTCTGCTACTGCTAACAGTCAGTGCTTCCACATCCTAAAAGATCAGTCTCTGGGTTAAGACCGTTGTTGTGCACAGTTGAGATGGAACCAATCCGTAGCTGTCCCTACACTGGGTTTTCAGAGGCAATAAATCACACACTTTTCTCCCTCAGAGCAACTGGTGGTTTGAACCAGCTACCTTTGTGTTGTCAGCATAATTCCTTATTATTAAGCCACCTTACCGCTAAGCTGCAGGCTACCTGACCTCCCTTCGGGCTGTCTGCATTCAAAACCTTGTTTCATTATCAGCTAGATTTAGAAACTCTCCAGACTTCCTTTCCTTCTTGCAACCAGGTCGGATGCAGGCAGTAACTGCACCTCTTAAGGAGGTACTCAGTGGTCAGATGAGCCAACTCAGAGCATCTTAAATCTGGGCACCTGGCATGTCCTCAGTACAAGTGACCACCACTGTATTGCCCTCAGAAGGTCTTGGGCATCCCCCCAAGCAGGAAAGTAGCTAGTTCTTTCCAGTAAGACTTGTTTGGGGAGCCATGCTTTAATAATAATCATAATAGCAACCACAAATTGCCTATCACCACTCTTAGGATGCTGCAGAAGTCTCCAAAGGGAAGCCGCCCAGCTAGGACCAGGAAGGCAAGGCGGGGAGAGCAGAGCCCCTACCGAGATAAATTTCCCTCCAAAGGTCTGTTATTTTTAAAAACACAGCCCTAAATCTTTCCAGGAAACCAAAACACAGCCAAAGTCGCTCAACAGGGGGCCGGAATTGCATTAGGGCATCCGTGGCCAGACGTTTAAAACCAAGTGGAAACGTTACAGAGCTGAGCACGATCAGTTAGAACTATTTGAAAAAAAAAATCATTTTCCATGTTTAGAATCTGAAAAATAGCGGGTTGAAACAGTGCACCATTCAATGAGGAGACAAAAGAATGTGAGAGAGACAGAGACAGGGGAGATTACCAGCCACCCCTGGGATCCCTGACATCCTTGTAAAAGGGGTCTCCTGGCTCCACTTTTCATTAACTTTAAATCGTGTGACTTTTGAGATAGTAGGCTTTGGAGCTCCCAGATCAGATTCCCTCACAATTCTGAAAGATATTTTGTAGAATCTCAGTTTAGCAAAGTGGTGGGGGATGGGAAAGGGGAGGCACCCGGACTCCAAGTCTCTTCCCACCACTGTTGCAAAAGGAAAGAAAGCGCCGCCACTAACCTTGCCTCCTGTCGGGGAAGCGCACTGCGCCCGCCTCAGGCTGTCGCCCATGGCCCAGCGCCCCAAAGCTAAGGAGGTGAGCCAGGACGCCAAGGTGTGCAAGCCAGCTCCTCTGGGCACATGGCATGATTCAGTTGCCGGGGAGAAGAAAAGTAATCAAAGTTTGCAACCCTCAACTCAAGAAAACGAGTCCTCTCCCGGGGCCGAGCCGGCAGATGCTGGAGCGCATGGTCTGGGAGAGGGGAGCGGGTGGCTGCAAAGTGGCCCGGGACCTCTGCTTGCTTTTCTGAGTAGAAGGAGGTTAGGTATCTCTGTCCCCCTCCCTGGTCCTGTAAGGGGAGTGATTGGGCTCGCAGTGTCTGCCTTCCGAGGGAGGGGTGTGGGATGGGTGGGAATTGAGGGCGCAGCCCACCCCGTCCCCACCCCTCTGCCTTCCTCACGCCCAAACCGCAAGTTTCCCCCGGCTTCCCACCCCCTCGCCTCCCGGCCCCGCCCAGAGCTCCCGCGCGCCGGCCAAATAGGGGAGCCCGGGAGAGTCATCCTGGGCGGGGGAGGAGGCCGCCAGCTGGACCCGGCGAAGCTGCGAGCCAGAGGATCCCAGGACAGCCCCTCCTGGGGCCGAGAGCCTAGCGGGGAAAGTTCAATCCGCACACACCCAGAGAAGAGAGCATCCCACTGCCTCCATCCTTCTGGCTCAGTGCTGCCTCCTTCAGGCAGTTCCTCTTCCAGTCCCTAAATTGAGCTCAGCTTGGCTCAACTCCTCACCCAGGCCGATTTCTCTGCAATTCTCTACTCTGAAAGCTAGGACTTCCATTGGCAAGAGTCTTGAGTAGGGTTATTGAAGTTGGTGTTTTGAGGTGGGTTTTTTTTTCCCTTTGCCCAAGTCACAGAAAGGGAAACAGTCCAGCTAAAGCCCTCATGTGACCCTGGACAAGTCCCTTTATCTGGACCAAATGATATGTGTTGCTGAGCTTTCTTCAAGTGTGCAATTACCCAAAAAGCCTTTCTCATGGTATAATCCCATGTCTCCCAACCCACCCAACACACGAAAAAGGCAACTAGTGTGTGGAGAAGGCCAGCTTCAAAGAAAGTAGCCCAAGACAAATATCTTGAACCAGAGCTGGAGGCTAAATGTCAATTTTAAAAAGCAAACTTAAGAAGCGATAATTGAGGGCATGTAAGAAGTGTAGCTGGGTGAGTGGACTGCTCCACACGGTATGTATGTAACAAGAACTCCAGCTGATACCTGCCATGGTACTGCCATGATCACCTCTAACGTTTTTGCAAACTTTGTTTTTAAAATGCCAATCCTACAAGAATATAGAAGTATAAGCCTTTCATCTTATTTTTTTTCATTTTTTAATTGATATTTTAACAAAAGTTTACGTAAAACTTGGATTTCCATTCATTCATTGTTGCACATATTCCTCCCTACCTGTCTCCCTCCCCAGTTCCATTTTCTCTTTAAAAAAATGCATTCATTATTACATAATTTCCTCCTTCTCCCTCCCAAGTCCACTTTGCAATGTGCCTCTTACTCTAAACTGTTGTCATGCAAATAATATCTAATATCTAATCTTTTATTCCTTTGAAACAGTTCTTTCCCTCATCTGTTTCAATAGATCTTGACTCACTAATTGTCAACACTTTGCCAAGTATATTTATTCCCTGGCACCTCTTACGTACACACGTGTGTGTAAGTGGCTTTTGCTTTTTTGCTAACCCATTTCTGAGTAAGCTACAGACACCATGATCCTTTACCATGAACGTTTTTAGCAAACGGAGCTCTGGGAGAGTGTGGAGACTTGTGCTGCTGATGTGAAGACACACTTATGTTCTGGCAGTTTAGATCTACCTGCCAACTCAAAAGAAAAAGATGAGGAGTCTCTTTCCATGCAATTTACAACCTCTGGGAAGCCCACTAGAGGCCAGCTATCACCAATAGGACAGGTAATGAGAGAGAGAAAAACAGCAAGGGAGATCACCTGAGAAGAAGAGCCGTTTCTTAATTAATCAGGAAATTTAACACTGATGTTAAACTGTCATCTCTCAGACATTTTTTTATCCCAATTTACTCCATTTTCTCAATACTTTACTTATATAGTGGTATGACTTAAAGAATGTCTGTCAACTGGAACTGGATCATAAAATGGTTATCCAGTTTACTGTTCTGAGTACCCAGTCTTCTCAATATTACGAATAGGTTGTTGAGATCCACATAGTCAAATGCCCTTGCATATTCAATAAAGCACAGAGATTCTTGTAGTATTCCCTGCTTTCAGCCAAAATCCATGTGACATCAGCAATGATATACATGGTGCCATGGCCTCTTCTAAACCCAGTGTGAACTTCTGGCAATTCTTTGTCAATGTATTCTTCTAGCTATTTTTTGGATGATCTTCAACAATATTTTCCCTACTTGTCAGTTTATTCTTCTACCTTTTTTGGATGATCTTCAACAATATTTTCCCTGCATGTGATATTGATGTTGTTCGATAATTTTCACATTCTGTTGGGTCACCTTTTTTGGGAATAGGAACAGATTTGCATCTCATCCAGTTAGTTGGCCATATAGCTGTCATCCAACTTTTCCTGCACTGACTTCTGAGTATGTCCAGGGCTAGTTCTCTTACTTAAAACATGTCAATTGGTATTTCAGTTTCCTAGGGCCTTATTTTATTATTTTTTTTCCAATGCAGCTTTTTTCTTCAATATAGCTTTAATTTCTTCTCTACTGAGTCACTGTATCGAAAGAAATTGGCAGACACAGAAGAATTTCATGAAACAACATATGAGCAAGAGCCTAGGGTGATGAATGAAGAAGTTCAATCTACTTTGAAGGAAATAGCAAAAACACAAGGCCCCAGGAATAGATGGTATACCAACTTACATATTTCAGCTAACAGATGCTGCCCTGGATGTGCTCACCAAGTTGTGCCAAGAAATCTGGAGATGGGGAGGAGGGTGGAGAGAATGGTGTGGCAATGAAGGAGTGAAAGCCCAGAATCCCTGTGAATGTTCATTGAAACTAATAAAATTTAATAATAATAAAAAAAGAAATCTGGAGAACAACCACTTAGCCAACTGACTCGAAGAGATCTATATTTGTTCCCATTCCAAAGAAGGGTGACCCAACAGAGTGTGGAAACTATAGAACAATCTCATTAAATTCACATGCAAGCAAGATTCTACTGAAGATTATCCAAAAACAACTGGACCAACACATCAGCAGAGAACTGCCAAAGGCCAGGTTGGGTTTAGAAGGGGTCATGATGATACTAGGGATATTGTAGTTCATGTTAGATGGATCTTGGCTGAAAGTAGGGGGATACCAGAGGAATGTCTATCTGTGTTTCATTGACTATGCAAAGGCATTTGACTGTGTAGATCATAACAAACTGTGGCTGACTCTGAGAAGAATGGGAATCCCAGAACACTTGATCATGCTAATGCGAAACCTATACTTAGACCAAGAGGCAGTCGTCAGAACAGAGCAAGGGAACACTGCATGGTTCAAAATGGGGAAGGGCGTACGCCAGGGATGTGTCCTGTTTCCATACCTTTTTAACCTGTATGCAGAACAGATTATCCAGGAGGCTGGGCTCTATGAGGAGGAATGTGGGGTCAAGATTGGTGGAAGATCTATCAACAATCTATGTTATGCAGATGACACAACCCTGCTTGCTGAAACTGAGGAGGACCTGAAGCACTTGCTGCTGAGGGTCAGGGACTGCAGCCTTCAATATGGACTGAGGTTTAATGTCAAGAAGACAAAGATTCTCACCACTAGACCACTTGGCAGCATCAGGATGGATGGTGAAGAGATTGAGATTGTTCACAGCTTTTAGTCAGCTTGGCTCCACAATCAATACTCTTGGTACTAGCAGCCAGGAAATTAAAAGACGTATTGCGATGGGAAAGTCAGCTGTAAGGGACCTCTCTAAAGTACTGAAGAACAACAGTGTGTCTCTGGAGACTAAGGTGTGTCTGGTACAGGCCATGATCTTTGCAATCACATGTTATGCGTCAGAGAGCTGGATAATAATAATAGGGAGGATAGAAGGAGATTTGATGCTTTTGAGCTTTGATGTTGAAGAAGTGTTGAGGGTACCATGGACTGCTAAGAAAACAAACAGATTCATCCTTGAAAGGGTTAAACCAGGCTGCTCCTTGGAGGCAAGGGTTCTGAGGCTTTGTCTGACATACTTTGGCCATGTTGTAAGGAGGGACCGGTCCTTGGAGAGGGACATCATGCTTGGGAGGGTGGAGGGCAGGTGCAGGAAGGGAAGGCCCTCTAGGAGGTGGATTTATTCGGTGACTGGGGCGTTCGGGATGAGTATGTCGACGACAATGAGATTGGCACAGGACAGAGCAGAGTTTAGAGCTGTTGTACATAGGGTTGCTATGAGTCACTAGCGACTCCACGGCACGTAACAACAACAACAACAGTGTTCTCTTGGCCTGTTTGCACAACAGTCTCCTGGTCAAGGTATAGGTTTAGCATAAGCACAGTAACTTGTTATGATCCACACAATCAAATGTGTTTGCATAGTCAATAAAACAGAAGAAGACATTCTTCTGGTATTCTCCTTTTAGCCAGAATCCATCTGACATCAGCAATGATATCCCTGGTGCCATGACCTCTTCTAAATCCTGCTTGAACTTCTGCCAGTTCCCTATCTATGTATTGTTATAGACATTTTTTAATGATCTTCAATAGTGTTTTGCTTGCATATGATAATAATGATATTGTTTTTATAGTTTACACATTCTGTTAGATCATCTTTCTTGGAATGAGAGCGTGGGCTTCTTCCAATCTGTTGGCCAGATAGCTGTCCTCCAAATTCCTGGCATAGACTGGTGAGTGCATCCAAGCCTGCATTTGTTAATTGAAACAAGTAAATTGGTATCCCAACGATTCCTGGGTCCTTATTTTTAGCCAGTGCCTTCAATGCAGCTTCCACTTCTTGTTCATTAACATTGGCTCCTGCTCATATAGTACTTCCTGAAATTTTTAGTGTCAGTTAGTCCTTTTTGGTACAATGACTGTATAGCCTCTCCATTTCCTTTTGGGGTTTCCTAGGTTATTCATATATTGACCATAGCATCTTTCAATAATGTGACTCA